CTTGGAGGCCAAGATGGCCAAACTTCATCTCTCATACTTTGGACACATTGTTAGGAGGGACCAGTCACTGGAGAAGGATATCATGTTTGGTAAGGTGAGGGTCAGAGAAAAAGTAGAAGACCCCCAACGAGATGGATTGGCCAAATGGCAGCATCTATGGACTCAAGCGTGACAACAGTAGTGAGGTTGGCCCAGGATGGGGCAGTGTTTCGTTCTGCTGTGATAAGGTCACTATGGGTCGGTACTGACTCCATGGTACCTAACAACAAGAACAACAACAGGAGTCAATTCTGCCTTCTTTTTCTTCATACCTAACACAATTATTTCCTCCAGAAAAAATTTTTCTCATCATATTCTTGCTGAAAAATCTTTTAATGGTGTTTCTTACCTGCAGAGTAAATTCCAAATTTAATTCCAAGCATAATCTGTGCATAATCTGCTTTTCTAGATTCATTTTTCATTCCTTCATTATATAAATCTTTACTCCAACTTAACCTGATCACTCACCACGTCCTAAACATACTAGCAATGAAATTTGCTGTCCTGGGTTGCTATGAGTGATAACCAACTCAACAGTACTAATAACAACATGCTTGTGGATAGAATTCTATTTGGGAATGGGTTGTATTTTCAGTTAATTATCTTGAGATATACATGAGTTTAAATGCAAGCTAAATGTTGCAATGGGAGAAAAGATTCAAGCCACATGAAAATCACCTGAGAGCAGAAGCTCAAACAGCAGACAGAAAAAGGAGCCTTTCCCTAGATCTAGCACCTTGAATGTGGATTTCTGGCTTCCTAAACTGTGAAAAAATAAATTTCAGTTTGTTAAAGCCGTCTGTCTGTGGTATTTCTATCACAGCAGCACTAAGAGATTGGTTTTGCATTTATATATATCTCCTGGGAAACTTGGTGATTCAGGAAGAAACATAAATCCAAAGCAAAGGGAGGTTATTAAAATATTATTTCCTGTTGTATTATGGAACTCAAGAAGAGAATAAACATACCGATTACTTGCATGGCTGGTTCCACGTCTTTTGTGGCCTCTTCCAACAACGACAGCAGCTTGGCTGATATCTGATGCACGGATTCGATGTTGCTAAACAAGCTATCCACATCCAGCCTATCAATCTGAAGAAACACAAACATTGAGCATCAGCTGACAGAGAGGGATTATATTTAGGATGCTTTCTCCTGCAAAGTAGTAAGCATTTTATAAATTTGCCCATGCTGCCTCTAGCAACCATTTCTGTAAATATTCTTATTTGGGATTTCTGGAGTAAATGTGGGACTTCTGGTGTGATGCTGTAGGATCAGCACTGGACTTCAAACCACAAGGTCTGCAGTTCAAATTCACCAGCAGCTCCTCGGAAACCCAATATATTGTCACTGTGAGTTGGAACCGACTTGATGGCACGTCATAACAACAACAGAGTAAATGTGTAGTTTTTCATCCAAGAAATTGGGATGACCCATCTGTTACTTGTCTTTTTCTTAGTTTTGAGTAAGTTTTAATGACTCGAGTATACATCTACACATTCCTACAAGAATCAGATTGGGAAGAAAATTTGGGCATCCTGATAAGTATTTGCTCTCTATGATTGGAGCTCTGTTCAACCCCACCAAATCCACCATCAGCTACACAGGAGAAAGATGAGGATGTCAGCTTCTGTAAACATTTACGGAACTCACCTTTGTGGCCCAATTATCAGCCAAGCAGTAGAGAGGTTTATTGGGGGAAGGGGCAACAGCACTAGTAAGGTATGCTCACCATGGAATGGTCAATCTTTCAAATCAAAAGGGCAACATTTTCCTAAGGACAAAGTTGAGAAAGGATAGGAAGGTGAGTGTAATGCAAACAGGAACCACAGGAAGGAAGTGGGATAACTGCTGCTGCATGGAGGGAACTGTAACCATTGTGATGAAACAAAGTGGATGACTTGTTGAATGAAAAGCTGATGATCTTGTCTGTAAACCTTCACTCAATTCACACAAAAAAAGTGAGCAGCGATCAGAGGGGCCAGCTGAAAGAAGGGCCAGGTGTTGAGTGTATTTTTTAGCCCTGGAGTCCTTATACTGTGTAACTCCTAGATCCAAGGAAAGATGGATGCCAAGACCCATAAAGATCTGCAAGGAAGGCTGGGCCTATAATTATGCTAAAAGGAGACAAGGACCTTTTTCCAGAGTCTGAATTTAGACTCCTGCCCTCCTAAACTGTGAGGAAATAAACTTCTGTCTGTTTAAAAAAAAAAAAAAAATTACAGTTTCAGAACCCTACGTAGAGTCATTATGAGTCAGAATCAACTCAATGGTTATGGGTGGGTGGTAGGTGCCTTCTATCAAGCTATGTGGAAGCTCTGGGTTGCACAGGGAAGTGCACAGCTACTAACTGAAAGCTACCTGAGAAGAAAGGCCTGGTTTTCTGCTTCTGAAAGGTCAGGGTAATGAAAAACCTATGGAGCACGGTTCTGCTTTGCAATATACGTAGTTGCCATGAGCCAGAATCAACAATATAGTAACTGGTTTTATGAAGATGTGTACTAGAGTATATGAATCTAGATTACTCCACGACTTATATAGAAGAACTGAAACCTTAGTCTAAAGCAAGTGTTGATTTTCAAAGCTGTTTTAAGATCACAGATATTCTAAAAGTGATCACAGTAGTTATATTGGATTGCTTCTTGCTTTTTATTTCTTAAAAGATATCCTGAAAGAAACGTGGATGGAAAACTTTCCCAAACATGTTTTACTAATAAAATATTTACCGTATTTTGTAAATGCATGTATACCTACAGAAAGCATTAGAGTCCTGGTATGGCACTGTAGCATAAGCACTAGACCTCAAGCCAGTTTGAACTGCAACGTCAGTGATTCGAACTCATCAGCCACTCCTCAGAAACCCTACACAGGGCCACTATGAGGCGGAACTGACTCGAAGGTAACTTAACAACAACAAACAACAATAGATGATGCTTATAATTATTTATTCACTCATTCAACCCTTTATCAAATATTTCTTGAGCACCTTCTATGTGCCATAATTAACAGGTCACACAAAATTTGCTTGCTATATTTGGTCAAACATTTAACTAACTCACCCCAAATGTGATGGCTAGAATTATAGTTGCCTTGGTAGGCCCCGATCAAATGATTTCATGGACCTTATCTGGTAGCGTAGTGGTTACGAATCGGGCTGCGAACTGCAAGGGCAGCGGTTCGAAACTACCAGCTGATCCGCAGGAGAAAGATGAGGATTTCTGCTCCCGTAAAGATTTACAGCCTCGGAAACCCTATACAGGGTTGCTATGAGTCGGAACCGACTCCACGGCACACAACAACAACAACATGTGGCCTGTGAGCCAGATGTTCCCCATCCCTGTCTTAAAGTTTTTAAGCCAGTGTTTCATAAAATATTCTTTCATTAAGCACTCAATTTAATAGGAGAGGGCACATGTGACTCTTTTGCCTGAAATCAATGGATGGTTCAAAATATCCTATTTCTATACTGGGATATGTATTTAATGTTATATAAAGTATATAAAAGGCATGTAACACCTATATGGCTTGTTTATTATCATTTTAAATATCTCGGAAGTCACATATCTCTGAGTACCACTGCTGAGTATCTCTGATTAAACACATTACTTATCCTAAGGCATAGCTTTATATATTGGGACTTAATTTATAAGGTATAACATTATATAGTACAAAGTTACGTAGGAATAAAACTTTTGTAGACTGGTTTGTATTTTAAATGAATTAGTTGTATAGTTATGAAAATCATTCTTTGAAATGAATCCTTTTAAAATGAGAAATTCCATCCAAAGACAGAAAATCAGATTTAATTCATATTGCTGTTGTTATTATGTGCCATCAAGTCTGTTTTGACTCATAGTGACCCTGTATAGGGCTTCTGAAGCTTTTCAATTTTTTTTGTGGGAGCAGAAAGCCTCATCTTTCTCCCACGGAGTGGTTGGCAGACTTGAACTGAAGACCTTGTGGTTCAGAGTCCAATATTTATCTTCCTTAATTAATGGAGTCCAGGACTGCTAACTGCAAGGTTAGTGGTTCAAACCCAACAACTGTTCCTTGGAAACACTATACAGGTTTGTTATAAGTCAGAACTGACTTGACAGCACTTAACAACATATCACTTTCAGTACTAAGAGGCACCTGACCCAAGCCATGGTATTTTTGATCTATCTATCTATCTATCTATCTATCTATCTATCTAAACATATATATATATATATATGAGAAAAAAGCTGGAAGTAAGACAAAGGAAGAGTTGATGCCTTCAAATTATGGTGTTATTGAAGAATGTGGAATAGAGCATGGACTGTCAGAAGAACAAACAAATATATCTTGGGAGAAGTACAGCCAGAATGCTGCTTAGAAGAAAGGATGTAGAGAGTCAATGAAAAAGAGAAAAATCTGTAATGGCACAGTTTGACGGTGGCTGCAACAATGTGCTAAAACAGCAAAGATTGTGACAATGGCGTAGGACCAAGCAATGTTTGGTTCTATTGTCCATGGAGAGGGTCACTATGAGTTGAAACCAACTGGATGGCACCTCACAACAACAACAGTTCTATTAATATTTCATTTTATTGTACATAGCTTATACTGAGGAAAATATAATATTTTACTTATTATTTCATATATCATTTTAACTTCTCTGTAAAATATGAATTTTTCCCTATAAAAATTAAAGATGGGAAAGCTAATGCAAAGTGTAAAGAGTGTCATACTTAAAATTATGCAAAGAGCTAAGTAAAGAATGTTGTTGCTGTTAAGTGCCATCAAGTCAGTTCCGATTCATAGCAACCCTATCTAGGGTTTCCAAGGCTGTAAATCTTTTCAGGAGCAGATAGCCTCATCTTTCTCCCACAGAACAGTTGGTGGGCAAAAACCCCACTGCAGCTGAATCAATACAGAATCAAATTAAAACTACGCTGTAAGGTTTCTGAGGTTGTAAATGTTTACAGACACAGACTACCTCATTTTTCTACCATGGAGTGACTGGTGGGTTCAAATGGCAGCTCAACACTTAACCCATTGCCCCATTATGGCTCCTTGCTAATTAGTACTAATAATAGAGTACTTTGTTGTCTTTGTTTATTTGTTTGCTCCTGACTTCTCCACTAAATTGTCACTTCACTTCTACAATCCATTCTCCAAGGTCAGTCATCCTGTATGTCTGTCTTGTTTAGATTATAAATTCATTTAGTAAAAACCTAATTCTGCATTCTATCTAGAATCTTAGCTCAATGTAACACATATTAAATAACAAAACATAGGTTTTAATTACATTTCTTCCTGAAGGACAATAAGGATTAAAACATCAATTGGACTGGTTTCAATTGCTCGTATCACCATAGGCCCATGGGGATTATGTGAATCATAAAATGAATTCATGTCCACTTACTGCTATGCCAAGGAACAAACAAATGTCTGAACCAAATAGGCTTTTAAAACTGGTGGATGATTTTATGATTACTGATAAAAATTCAAGGAAGCATCTATACATTTATTAATCATTTGCTCAAATCTGGTAGTGCTTAAAGAGCTTAGTTGAATTGTGTTTTGAATGGATTAAAAATTCATTAAAAAACACATTTCACCTAATATACATTATTCTAAAGAAAGTTGATATATAACAATTCAAACTTAAAACTCAGAAAAATGAAAAATAAATGTTTCCTTTGACATTTTAACTTCTTGCTTTACAAAAATACTCCTAGGCTATCATTCAAACAGCAAGTTTCCATTACATTGAAACAATTAAGAACCTGTGATTACATCTATGCTGAATTCCTCTAAGTAAAAGGAAACATGCCTATACAATTACATTAATTCAGAGGCCATAATCAGTGTTACTTTTTTCCTCCACAAGCACTTTCCACTTACTGTTTCTAAAGTATGCAATGCGTTTTCCTGCTTTCAAACCTTAGTCTAAGCATTTCACTTTGCTGAAAAATGTTTTATCCTCCTATTAACCTTCAACATTCTACCTATTCACAATGGAATATGATAGTGTTTATCTAGTAGTAGTTTTGTCTATATTTTTGCTTCGACCCACCTTTTTTTGGTGGGGTGGGGGAGTCACAGCTTCTCAATTTTATCTGGTC